CGCTCCGCGCTGTGTGTCCGGTAGGCAGATATGATTAATGGTTCGAATGGGAGACGGACCAGACCAATGAATGTGAGGGAGAGAGAGGGAGAGAGATGCGACATGTAGGGGCACAAGCTGTGCGAGAGAGACATGCGGGCTGGACGCAATAGCCACCGGACGGACGGACGGACGCAGGCTCGGGCTGGGCAGCATAGCAGGGGTATTGTACATGTTTTGTTCAAAACGTTGGCCTAACAAACGTTTTTATTTTCATGTTACAAGACATCCAGCACTGATTTTATGAATTGTCTGAAGAAAGTACTTTTAGCTTTTTTGTATAGAATCCGAGAAATGGATGAGCTATAGTGTATATGGTGCATATACAGTTAGACCTACGTCATAATAGAAACATAAAATTTATCTGTACAGCGAACGTTTGTTTGAACCAGTTTCGTGGGGACTGCCTATATGTCAGTGTACGCGGCAAAGTGGTATGGAACAGGTGGAGGCGCCACCATGAGTCATCAAAGCGTCATCGAGTCGCTGTGTCAAATGATACGCCTCTGTCTCTCGTTCTATCTACCTCCCCCTTCGTTTCCTTTTTTTCCCCCCTTTGGTGGCTGCGTACAGGTGGGGCTGTTGTGGTGATGAGTTGGCAAGAGGGCTGGACGCTCGGGTGCGCTGCTGCGGCCGGCGGCCGGGCTCCGGCAGGCCCAGGGGGGCGGCTGCTAACAGCCCTGCTAATTCAGGGGCGGTCACTCTGTGGTCGGGCTGGCTGGGGCGGCGCTTGGGGCGAGGGAGGAGAGAGAGAGAGGCGGGCTCATCGTGTTGTGGTGAAGACGGGACTACATCGGTGTAAAGACTACGCACTAAATTTGAAGGGACTTTTTATTTCCTCTGTCGCAAGATTCCTTTTTTGTGCGCATCTTAACCAGCTGCAATTCTGAATCTTTGCCAGTGACAAATTTGTATGTATGATTTAACATGGGAGCGTAACCACATAGTGGTCATGTACGGCGAGGGGTCGTCAACTTCGATATTCCTCCGTACACGGACTGATATTACCTCAAATATTACACCAATAGTAGCCATATTACTGGTAATATTACCTCGATATTACACATTTTCTAGTATTATGACGTCACAGCTTGAAAATTGGCTCATATTACCAATATTATTTGTAATATTCAATATTCCTCCGTACACGGCCAAGGAGAGTTGACGACCCCTCGATGTACGGTCATGAACGTGTTAATTGTGGTTCTCTATAATGAAGTGAAACATTCATGTTCCACGAAACGTTCACACGCTGACGGTTTCCGCCGTCGCCCCTGCCCACTCTGAGCTCTGGGACCGAGCCTTGACGGCGGCGACAGTGGCGGCGACTTTGGCGAGTCTTTTGCCGACGTTGGCAGTGTCCTCCCGGGAGCCCGCCCCGCCCCCGAGCGACTCGCCCTCAGTCGGCAGACCAGGACAAGCTTCGTCCAGCTCAGCTCGCTGTCGGTGTATTCAGAGAACGGACGCTGAAGGTTTCTGGCGTGTCGCTAGGCCGGCAGGGACCAAACAGAGTTTTAGATAAGAAAAAATGGCCTTGGATGCATTGATAACTTTGCAGTCGCACGCAGGGATGCTAATACAAAATCATGAATGTCGAATGCGACATTGTGTCGATTTCGTATTTCGTTTTTAAATCCATTTCTGGTCCGGCGAGAGCTAAGGCAAACGCACTTGAAGGAAAACTCAGGAATTCCTTTCGAAAACCCCTATGGGTCTCAGTTTATTTTACTCTGGAAACCCAAGTGTGTACTTGAATGCAGAATACTCTGCATACCTACATGTATGCAAAATATTCTGTGAACTTGGCAAGTATGCAGAATATTCTGTGTACTTGGTCAAGTATGCAGAATATTCTGTGTACTTGGTCAAGTGCACACTAAGTCTCCTGCATAAATGTATGGAGGTTTTAGTGTGTACTTGACCAAGTACACAGAATATTCCGCATACTTGACCAAGTACACATAATATTCTGCATACATGTAGGTATACAGAATATTCTGCATTCAAGTGCACACTTGGGTTTCCAGAGTACTCTGAGGGGATTTAGTTTTAGGTCGCTTTTTTAATCCCAGTCATTCTGTCAATTACATTGTGTCCCAAATTTCATATACTATTTGATTGGTAGAAAGATTCGACGCTCTATACGCACCATTTGTAGGCCTCTGACGCCGATCCAAGGACGCCCGGCCCCAGCCCGGCCAGCCCACCCCTCGCTGCTTGGCAACAACTAGAGTCTTGAGAACGCGGACAGCTTGCGTGTATTGGAAATCAATTCACGAACACTCCAAGAAACAGCACTTTTCCTGATGACTATTTTTTTTAAGTTTAATACAAGATTATAGGGCGCATTTTAACCCAATGTGTCGCGGCATCATACTTTTTACAACATTTATTCTACTCCAATTTTTTCGGTGAAAAGTTTGTTTGCATTGCATAAAGTTCTGCAGGCTGCAGGGAGGTAGAGTGGAACCAGAGGGGGATTGAAAGAGATAGGGAGATTGCCAGAACAGAGGCACATGGTTCCTTCCCATGCAAATCACAGCTTACTGATGTCCTGTAAAAATGCGTAAGCGGAGCATGTTTACAGACATCAGTAAGCTATGGATAAAAATGTGCAGAAGATTTTAGTGTGCACACTTGGTGACACACTGGTCTTAGTAATAGTACAGGAAACCCATACCAAGTGTCAAAAGTTGCCGAGACGTGCAATGCTTGCACACTACCTGATAATGATTCGACACCATTTGCACATTTGAAAAGCTCACCAAGTGGTGTGCAACTTTCAACTTTTGTTTTTCCGCTGATTTAATACTAATAAAATAAAATGAATATAATACATACTCGAAAATATCGCTCAAAGATGATCATTAATTGAATACACGACACTGAAACCTTGAAGCTCAAAGGGCCTCTATAGGCGGCTGCGCATAGGGCGTAAAGGTGGCCGTTTGAGTGACGTCACGCGGCGCGTCCCACGGCACTCGTCGATGCCTCACTCATTTATAAACAGCTGTCGTCGGGCGGGACGCGGGCGGGACAGGCGCAGGCAGCGCGCGCGGGTACGGCACTCAGTACCCCCCATTAACGTTTGGGCGCTTCCTGCTCGGAAAGACGATATGCCTGCCGAGGTTGGGGAGGGGGGAAAACAGACATTTTATAAAAAGGTCAGAGCTGAGCTTGCTTGCTTCTTCTGCGAGCGCGGAAAAAGCTTGTACATGCTGTTTCAAACGGGCGGACGGGAAGCAAAAGCATGTGTGCGAGGCGCGTGTTTCAGAAAGTTCATCAACGAAAAAGAACTTTGCGAAATGTCCGTGTCGTGGTTGTGGGTTCTGCAGTATGTAAAGTTAAATGATGTGTAAGGCGTTCTATGGATTTATGTTTTTTATACACTCTTATCCTGTTACTGTTTTTTTTCACCCTTTGTCAGTATTCCTCCTGCTGCATGAAAACCTTTGTAAGCTACTAATAAATAAATCAGTACAGGTCTGAGAGTGTAAAAGAAGACTTATTTTTACTGTCAGAAAAGGTAACACATTTTTAAATAAATGAATAAAAATAAAAATGTTTTTGATATTATTGTGTCCCCATTTTGTGGCGCCGTCTGCCTTCAGTCCCATTTTCCCCGAGTCAGCAGACCCCTCCCCAGTGCTCTCTCTCTCTCTCTCTCTCTCCCTCTCACACGCGGGGGTGCAGCCGAACCCCTCCCTCTCCTCATCCACTATAGGCAGGTCTCTCCACACCCCAGGGGCTGCGTAGGCGTGGGACCCACCCGCCCCGCCGCGGTGGTGAGGGTGAGGCGGGGCGCGGCAGGCGGGGCGGGAGGGATGCAACCGACACTTGCTGAACACGCCCGGAGCCTGGTACGGCCGGCGAACGCCAGACGCCGTCAGTCCCATTTTCCATTTAGTAACGATGGGCGATGAGCAGGAGTTGCTTCGCAATATGAGTCGCTCTACTGAAGAAAACAAAGGCATGACAATGCCTTATAAATGTTTTATAACCTTAGTGCTTCGCGCAGAGCGCCTAATAATAGGGCACAAAAATGTTCTCTCCACAAGTCAGTTGTGTGTGGCTTTACAGGCAGGCTAATTAACGGATTGTGTTCATGATCTACCTATTAAAATCTCCTGTGTTCTGGAGTTGCAGGCTCCGCTGTCGCTACGCCAGTATAAAACCCTAAGAAGCTAAGGTAGTTGGAGGAGGGGTCGTCCGGTCCGTTCGGGGCGCCGCCGTGCGTCTGGTCTGTGGCGCGCACTGGCCGCCCCCTGCAAGTCACGGTGGCCCGGCCTTCGAGTGGGAGTGCAGAGGCTCCTACCGCAACACAAAGCGCTCACATTCACTCACGAAAAATGTATCGGCGAACTTTTCGAAATGAAGTCAAAGTCGTACGATGAAGGTGACATTTGCTTATGTTGTTGTTCTTGTTGTTGTTTGCGTCGTTTAAAATTGATTGAAATGTGATTCAAATACATTAGTATAATAATTGATGCTGCATCAATGTGATTCTTCTTCTAAATGTTGATGTAACTTTATCTGAAGTAGTCAGTACAAGTCAGCATGACCTCAATATGTTTTGTGTTTGTCCGTGCTTGCCCTAACAAAAGCGCCCCGCTCGGGTGCCATTCCAGGCACATTCCAGGGGGCGGGCGGTTCTCCAGAGCTCCAGAACGGACATGGTGGCGTCTCGCGCAACCGGTCCACGGTCCTGGGGCAGCTGCTGGAGGCCGCGGCCGGACGCGCGGGTGCGGCGCGGTCCGCGGGCGGTCCGCGGGATGGGTCCGCGGGAGGGTAACTTTATTTGTTTGTGACAGGCGCGCCCCGCCGCCCCTCCCCTCCCCGGCCCGAGCCGGCCCCGCCATTGGCTGCGCGGGCCGCGGGGGGCGGGGCCTGCTCGCGACGGCCTGGTGGGGGGAGGCAGGCCGCGCGGCCGCCCGGCCGCCCGCGCCAGTCCCTCCAGGGCGCGCAGGGAGTGCGCAGCAGTGCGGAGCGCGCAGTGCGAGTGCGGCCGTGAGTGACCGTGAGAGTGCCACAGTGAGTGCTGCGGGAGTGCGCTGGCCGACGGGGCCGCCGCCGCAGGAGGCGACATGAGTTCGTACCTCATGAACCCGACGTACCACCACCAGTCGCCGGCCGTCATCGTGGACCCCAAGTTCCCCCCGACAGAGGAATACAGCCAGAGCAACTACATTTCCGGGGCCGACTTCTTCGGCCACCATCACCACCACCACCATGTGGCCCCTGGCGCCCAGCACCACGGGCACCAGTACGGCTACCACCAGATCCCGGCCCCCGTGCCGTACGGCGCGACGGCCACCACCACCATCCAGATCACCACCAACGCCCCCGGCTACGGCGGGTACGGCGGGAACTACTATCACCCCCACCCCCACCACCACCAAATGCAGCACCAGGTACCCCCGCCCCCGCTGCCCCCCGAGCCCACTGCTCCCTGCCAGCCCCCCATGGTGGCGGAGAGCCCCCCGGCCGCCCCCCAACAACCCCCCAGCCAGCCGGAGCTGCAGCAGCAAAGCGCTGCTCCCCTTCAACAACAACAACAACAACAGCAACAACAACAGGATATTCCGCAGCAGCAGCCCTCCTCGAACCACCTGGACGATGTGGACGACCATGACGACCAGGAGGAGGGCTCGGACGACATGGACGGCGACGGCTCGCCGCTCACCATGGAGGACGACGACGAGGGCGACGACGAGGACGGCGGCGACAGGGTCATATACCCCTGGATGAAGAAGATACACGTAGCCGGAGCAAGTGAGTATACTATGACGAATTCAGTTTAAAATGAGTGTTACAAAGGGTGGGACATAAGTAGCGCGGTAACGAAACGTATGAGGAAACTTTTCGGGAAATATCGCATGACTCGAACGGGTATTTAAGAACGGACACAGCAGTGTCGCAATTTTGTCTACCCCCTTCTTCCGCAAGGCGCCATAGCCCCTGCGACTCTTGCGAGTATGTGATCCCACAACACTGCAGTGCCCGTTCTGAAACATCAGATACAACTGAACAAAGGGTATCCTACCATCTAATCAACCATGAGGTATGAGGATTGCTCATGCTCATCCCCTGCACTTTCTGCGCGGTCTGTATGACAGGACTGGGAGTGCCAAATATGGAAGGAGGCATTTTGCTGGAGGTGTGCGAATCCCCTCGATTTTTTCTCAAACATCTCGTGTAAAATGGGGTTATTTATTCATAGATTTTTATTTTATCACACAAAACAATGCTTGTCTTATTTTCAGCAAAACTTTTGTAAAATGAGCAAAATTATGAAAAGGGACTTTGGACCCAATAAATTTGCATTTTCACCTCGTTCTGGTCTGGGCAGCGACGATGCATTGCCCGAGTAAAAAATGTCATGTCCAGTAAGTGAACTACCCCAACCCCACGGCCTTCGGTACTCTCGGCCCGTAATAAGCAAAGCACAGCGGGGCTCCAGCCTGGCGTGGCGTGGCGTGGCGTGGCGTGGCGTGGCGTGGCGTGGCGTGGCGTGGCGTGGCGTGGCGTGGCGTGGCGTGGCGTGGCGAGACGAGACAGGGGCGTAACCACGCCCGCCCGCGTCTGCACCGCCAGGGCGTGGGCGGCCTGGAGGCGGAGGAGCGGCGCCGCGTCCTGAAAGCTTTTTTTTCCCGAGCCTTATCTCTTTTCAGCGATGTGTCAGCGCCACGCGCGCCGAGCAGCGCAGGCCGCCCAAAGAGAAACTGGCCGGCCCTCCCGGGCCCGCCCATAGGTCCGTGAACAGGGTGTTCAAGCCGTTCAACAGGTGGCACGCGCTGTCTCGCTGTCCTCACCGCACAACTTTCCACTCAATGGAGAGATATTGGACTTGAAAGGTGAAAGGGGAACACTAAAAAAAATTGAAATGAAATGGACGTAACTGTCCATCCTCGAAAAATAAATTATTCGATGCCCACCTAATTGAATTGTTGAGATCGTCTACGTCACGCAGAAAAAGTGACTTGTAAGTGGTTTTCCTAAAACAGCTGTAATACGTCTCCAGACACGTAATTTTTATTCGTCATTTTGTAGAAAGATTCGATTGATTTTGGATAAGACACTGAAATTGTGCCGAAAAGACTACTCCACACTGGATCTGTGTGAATAGATTTTTCTGCAAACTTTTAAAGAAGGGTACGCCTACGCCTAAACGAAAAAGAATCATTTATTTGCTCTGCTTAATCTTAGGCTGCCCCTAGCGTTAGATGCGTGACAGTCACGCATCAAGTTTTAATTAGGTAGTTTTGTCTAGAGAGTATTTTTATAAAGTAACGTCATCATTCCAATCAAAAAGTCGTTATCAGTGGAATGGTCGGCCCCAAAAGAGCCTAAAAAAAACGAGTGGGCATTTTGTTCTACTATGGTAACAGTGGGTCTGTTCTTGGTTTGACAGAGTAAGAAGTAAAGTAAGAGCCCTGCAGGAAACCAGCAGTATGCTGCCCCTCATGAACGCCTTGCACTGCCGCACTCTTCAAGGGTGTGTTGCTTTCTATACAATTTTCGTTAACTTGATTTCCTCAAAAACATTGCCCTCTGCTTTGTGGAACAGTTTACTTTGGTACAAGGAAGTATGCTGACATCAATGTCCTCGAAAAAATCAAGTGAACAAAAAACGAATACATATCAAGAGCGCACCCTTGTTTATGGGGGAGAGGGGAGGCGGGGCACCTCGTCTCGGGATCTCAATGCGAGCAGCAGCGGCAGCAGGTGTCTCTCAGGTGTCTCTGACGATTTCTCATGATAAAAGCCCGAGCGCTTGCTGCTCGCGGACACGCGGCCTGGGGCCGGGCGGGGCGGGGCCTTCCCGTTGCGATTGAGACATTTATCACTGCGGAGCGGTGCGGCGCGAGCGGACATTATTGGCAATCCAATCAAAATGGGGCCGTCCCCCTCGCGCCACGCCACGCCACACCGCGACATTCCTCTCGGTGTCCCCTCGCCCACCGCGGCTCATTCCCCCAAACGACTCTAATGCCGAAAAAATAAACGGCGCCCCCGCGTCGCTCTCGCCCCATTGCGCCGCGCCCCCCGGCTGTGCCACCACCCACTCCGCCCCACTCCGCCCCGCCCCACCCCGCCGCCGCGTGACGCTCTGTGACGCGACCTGTCACGCCCCGTGACGTGACGTGACGGGCGAGCGTCGTGTATCGATCGACGCAGCGACGCTCCCCTTAATTTGTCGCCGTCGCGTTTGGAGGTGTCCACCCCCCCCCCCCTTCACCTCCCCCCTCCCTTTCACCCGAGGGTTTATTTTCGTTGCGTGGCGCCGGGCGCGTCTTAGCTAATGAGTTTTGTCGTCCAGGGGCGGAACCAGCCACCAGTAGTAGTGGTGTGACCATAGCACCAAGCGAGAGAGAGAGAGAGAGAGAGAGAGAGAGAGGGAGGGAGAGAGAGAGAGGGAGAGAGCGAGAGAAAGGGGGGGGGGAGAATTAGGATGGTTGTAAGAGAATGAGACAGTGGGAAGGACTCGGTCTCAAAACAAAATGTTTTATTCACTAATTGAATTGGTTTATCCGGGTTTACCTTTCCTAGAAAAATTATTTTTCCTCTTCTAGCACTTCTTGTGTGTGAGTTTCAAGGATGCCAGGATACATAGAATTATAGTGCACGGACCGGGTATTTTTTCCCCACACAAGCATTTTTGCCTGACACTAATTCTTTCTTTCTTTCTTTTTTTTTTTACCTCGTGCCGTTACTGCCCTGATCGCGTTCGGCGCGTGGGCGACCTCTGGGTAACAAGGTCGGGAACGGTGGACTGTCGATGGCAGAGATACGGGCGGGCGGCAGCCATGGCGGCAGCGCGGCCCAACCGCGAGGCCCACATCAACAACTTCCGTCCGACTGGCCCGCGGGGGACTTATTGAAACCGTATCAGATACGACCCCAGCCAACAGGGACAATGCGCAGGCACGGAATTCAAAGAATTAGCACAATTTATAAAAAACAATTGCAAATACGTGTATTTTGTTTTTACATCTTTAGAAAAATTCTTCTGCTCTGAAAACTGCCTGGAAAGTCTAGTATCAAACATTGCCATATTTCATAGTAAATACTGATGATAGTAGGTGGGTGCACTGGAAAAACGGAGGTAGGACTTAGTGTCTATTAAACGTGCTAAATATCATTTCTTTAGAAAGGCGCGTAAGTGTCGGAAAGCACTATAATTTAGCACTTTGGGTCAGTTTAGTGCCTTTCCAGGGGTGCGAATCCTTGAGTACCTCTGTGAAGGCACGAGTCAATAACACACCGAGAAGGGTGTTGATTGATAGCTTTGTTTTTCTATTGCGGACGGTTAATTTTTATTTAAAAAATATTCGAAACAGTAATTATAGTTCATGGTTACGGAATAATTTTCTGTCAATCTGTATGAAGTATGAACACTTTGGGTTAGGTTGGGTTTTTAAACGTAGTAGAATAATTAAATAATTTTGTATTTTTAAAATCTCCAAAAGCACAATCAGAATTTGGTTTGCACGGTAATGTGTCGCTTTGGTAGGTTCTGCATGCAGGCCTCGCTGCTCGCTGGCGCGGGATTTACAGTAGCCATCTACCCGTCTATCGGCCGGCCCCGCCGCGCATGCACGGCGCACAGTTCCGGGAATGGCCATGGGATATGGCGCCACTCCGGGCCTATGGCCGCACCTATGGCCCGGCCTATGGCAGCCGGCCTCGCACTAACTGTCGGGGGGCACTTTGGGGTCGCTGATGTATCACCGAGCTGCAACTTTGTGCACGCGGGGATAGTAAAGTTATCACCAGCTGCAACCCACCGCTGCTGCTGCTGTTCGCATGCATCTGCAAGCTGCACAGGCTGCCGGAATGTGGCAGGCGCTAACCATCTCGGCGCCAGCGTTTAGTTCCTGGAAAATAGAAAAACGATCACGGCGGGAACGAGTGTGTGAGGAGTGCCCCCCCCCCCTCCCTTCCTGCTCCCCCTCACTTCCACTCCCTGCATGCTCCCGCCCCTCTCTCTCCTGCTTCCCGGCTCAGGCGTTGCGTTTCGAATGCTGTTGGCAGTCTGTCCGTCTGCCTCCTGCTGACTGACTGCCTGGCCGCGCTGGTTTTACAGCGCCGAGGCCGCAATTAAAAAGCAATGACTGCTGCCTGCTTATTTGGACAACGTGAATAATTTGTTCAGCTGACCGTCGAGTGTGATTCGACTCTGCCAGATAAGCAGGTTGTCGATCATGTGAAAGGGGTAATTTTAAAATATAATACTTTATTCAATATTCTAGTTGATGAGGTTCTCTGAAGATAGCAAATATAATTGGGTAGTAAACCCAAACAACATGATAAACGCCTTTTCATATAACACATTTCTTCCTGGCGTTTTGGTACGTGCGTTAAGGTCACCGCCCAGCTCGGGACCGTGTACAAAATGCAATCCGACCGCAGCTCCGCAAAAATCACCCCACTTCACATTAATCAGGCAAATTGCGTTTCCCTAGAAACAGAAGAGATATATTGCTTGAGGCCCTTTTCTATCGACATCGACCCGGCAGTTCCGGTTGTCTTCCGCTGGCCGCCTTCAATTGCCCCCAACCACCCCTGGCTTCAATCGCCGTTTTAGAATTTTTGCAAAGCTTCATGTACGTATGTGTATGAATGTATGGATGTATATGGGTATGTATACATTATTGTATGCATTTATTTGTGTGTGAAAGAGAATGACAGATACGTTGGCTACGGGGCCATGATGAGCATGAATGGCTGGTCAGTCGCGCTGCGGCTGGTCAGGCCCGTCAGGTCTTTGTGCGTGGACCGCAGACAATGCTCGTTTTATCGTTTTACTGCCCGCTGGGCTCCCGAGGCCTCTGCGCTGCTGCTGGCTTTAGTGACCTCCTTCTCTTCCCTTTGACCCGAGCTCCGCACGTCTCGTTACCCTGGTGGTCATTATATACGTGTTCCTTGCTAGCCTTCCTGGAAAGTAACATGCAAGCGGTATGTGGACAAAAGGTAGCGAAAGTTAAAAATAAAAAATTAAAAGATTAATTTCTAAACTTGAAAACAATCTTTGCTCAACAAAATGTAGTTTATTGCGGAGAGTTTGCTCTCTTGAGGACCAAACTTTTGCTTGGCCATGCACAGTATGGTCCCAACTCAGCCAGTGCATCCCAATACATCGTCGAGTGGACAGTCGAGAGCCAGCCAGCTGCACTGTAGTCTTTGAGTGTCATGATGCATTTTATTTTTCTGTGCAAATTATTTCACGAGATCGTCATTGGTGGCTACGACGCCCGTAATGCCTACATCCCTGTCGCATAAATTAAGGTTAGTTTAGGTGTCGCTAGTGTTTTACCGCCCCGGACAATGTTGTTGCTGCTTTACAGCGGCGCCGTTTAATATCAGCCTTCCTGAAAAATTACGATGCTGTAAAGAGATTTTAATGAGTACGGACACTCGGGACAACGTGGCGCTGCCAAAATCATAACTCTCTCCCAGTGTGCGCTGCGGTTGGGCTGACGAAACGACTGCAACAAAACGAGTGTTTTGGCGTGCAAAAAATTATGACACTGTACTAAATGGCACTTGCTTTAGCATTCAGGCTGCGTTGTATTTTTTTAATAACACGAAAAAAAATACAACTGCAAAATCTTAAGAGCGGGGGTATCCTAAGGAGCTATCGCCAATAACTTTCACACAGGAGCGTGTCCTTTTGTGTGTTTTGTTTTGAGTGAGACTCGACAAGTTGCCCCATCTTCTGCGGAAAGAAACAATGCGTGTCACGAGGCGAGCCACTCACGCCACTCAGCGCGGATGAATCGCCCGACCGGAACCATAAATTTGTCACTCTCTTCTCAACTCAACTCTTTTCGTTCACACAGGCAGCAACAGGTCCCCGAACTCGTCACTGCCCCGCTCAAATGTTCACGATGTTTACTAGGAATTAAACGCTCATTTCCCAATTATTTAAGACGTAAGTAAGATAGTTTTTGTTTCTTTAATTGAGGCCCTCCTCCTTTTTCCCCTTATAAAGGAGAACTGAACGTTCCTCTCACCCTACCCACTTCTCTTGTTATTTGCAGGCTGTCAAGCCTGATCTGTGAATAAATGCCTGGGCTGGCCCACCCCTATCGTGTGGAGCTCCCCTTTGCGATCGAGGCGCACACACCTCCTGCCCCTTATCCCCCTTCTCCACATGCGACATCCCTCTGAGGACTCCTGCGGGATAATACGACGTGTAACAAATCTGCAGGGTATCACCGAGCTGCAACTTTGTGCACGCGGGGATAGTAAAGTTATCACCAGCTGCAACCCACCGCTGCTGCTGCTGTTCGCATGCATCTGCAAG